GTCCAGCGTACACTCCTTCACTGTGCTGTGCAGCCAGCACACTGTCCAACTCCCCATGTCTCCATCGCCCGAAAGACTCTCTGTACCTCTTGGCAGCTCCCCCAACCGTGGAATCACCTTCTGTCCCCTGTTCTGGACGTATCACGTAAGTGGGGTCACGCGGTGTGTGGCCTTTGCTCTGGCTCTGTTCGCTGGAGGCTCGTCCATGCCGTAGCCTGTGCCAGCACTGGACAGAGAGACCACGCTCCGCGGCTCCTGTCCACCTCGGGGCTGCCGTGGTGGAGCCGGTGTGAGGGCTTGCTCCAGGGGGACCTGGATGCATTTCCCCGGCTCCTGGCCACACACCGGGGAGTGGAGCTGAGCTGTGCAAGTCGCTGCCCGGGCCCCGCCTGCCCCCTGCTCCCCGCGGCTGCACACCACACGCCCAGCCCCACCGTGCACGAGGCCGGCGTCGGGTCCGCAGGAGCAGCTCCTTTCTCAGCTTAGCTGTTTCCATGTTTGCTGATTAAACATTTGCATTGTGACTTTTCTAATACTGTTGTTTTTTGAAACCAACTTTTTTAAAATCGAAGTGCAGTCAGTTTACAATGTTGTGTGAGTTTCTGATGTACAGCATAGTGATTCAGTTACGCATGCATATATATGTGTATATATTCCTTTTCATATTTTTTTCATTATAGGTCATTACAAGGTATTGAATATAGTTTCCTGTGCTCTACAGCAGGACCTTGTTGTTTATCTGTTTTATATCTAGCAGTTAGTATCTGCTAATCCCAAACTCCCAATTTATCCCTCCATCCTTCCCCCCCGGTAACCATAAGTTTGTTTTCTATGACTGTGAGTCTGTTTCTGTTTTATAAATGAGTTTATTTGTGTCATATTTTTGGATTCCCATATAAGTGATATCATATGGTGTTTTTCTTTCTCTTTCCGGCTTACTTCTCTTAGAATGATGATCTCCAGGCCCATCCATGTTGCAGATGGCATTATTTTTATCATTTTTTATGGCTGAGTAGTATTCCATTGTATGACTATACCACAGCTTCTTTATCCAGTCATCTGTTAATGGACAATTAGGCTGTTTCCATGTCTTGGCTACTGTAAATGGTGCTGCTATGAACACTGGGGTGCAGGTGTCTTTTCAAATTAGAGTTTCCTCTGGATATATGCCCAGGAGTGGGATTGCTGGATCATACTGACACCAACTGATTTTATTATTAATAATTATTGGCATTGATCATTTTAAAATAATAGGTTTAATTAGAGGTAAGCAGAAAAAATATTACAGCTGTTCAAATTTCTCTTTGAGG